TGAAGGACCAAGGCTGTGTCCTCTTATAAAACTGAGGGCAAGCATTCCTGTAACACCTTTATAAACATTTGCTTTCTCAGGCTGAAATACTCATTCTATATCAAAACCTGTTAAGTCTATTTGTGTCTTTTCATTACTTCACAGTAATGGTAAAGACTGCAAGTTAGAGAAAATTGATTTTTCCCTATTTTGACTATGTACATTCCTGTAAGTAGTACATTGTTCTTTGTCTCTGGCCTAGAAGTCTTCTGCTATCTGCCTATTAAATCGCAACACTTATTTTTGTAAGACTAGTTGAGGGGGTTTGCCTGGAGAGAGTTCTTAGTAGCTAAGAACACTGGGTGCTTTCTCAGAAGACCCAATTTCTATTGCCAGGACCCATTTGGCAGTTCACAGTTGTTGGTAGCTCCAGTCCCTTGGAATTTGATGCCATCTTCTGTCCTCTGTGAACATCAAACATGCATGCCATACACAGAAATACAGGTAGGCAAAAACACCTATAAGCATAAAAATAAAATAAAACTAATTATTAAAGTTAAAGTTATCTTGAAATATGAAATCAAACATAGATATATTTACTAGCTGATGACTTGGGGAAATTGATTACAATAACAAATACCTCTGAATAAAGTTAACATAATTACATATGCAACTTCTTAAACACAAATGGTTAATACACAATTTTGTATGTATTTTGGATTGTGACCAGGTCCTAGTATGTGGCTCAAGATAGCCTAGACCCCTTATCTTACTGCCTCCGTTACCCACAAGCAAGGGTTTAAGGCAAGGATCTAGACACTAGGTAATATGCTAGTTTAAACACCGTTGTGCTTGTCAAAATCATTGATTATCATCTTTCTTGTCTGGAGAGACAATTTCTGTAGTTTCTTGTTTTCCTCATGCTTTACAAAGAGAGGCACTGATTGATTTTGTTTGAGACCTTTTTGTAAATGTTGTTTGTGCAGTGAAACATTTTGAAAGGTGCAGACGTTTTCTCCTCCCAAAGCAGAGTGCAGAAAGCTCTGATTGCCTTTCAGATCCAAAGGGCACTGAACCTTTTTGTGGTGTTGTGCTTATACTCATTATTCAATATGAGTCATTTGAGCTTTCAGTACTTCCTCTGTGGGGCAAAGCCATGGTGTGGGGGGTGTGAGCCTGGGTCATACCATGCTGCCTAATAGTGCTTTTGTGAATAAGAGAGTATGTAAGACCTACACCTCTCATTGCCTGCTGCATGTTGGGGGTTCTTAACTAGAAACACTCATGTATATGCCCAGAATCTGGGAAACTGTGGAATGTATATGCCCAGAATCTGGGAAACTGTGGAATGATAAATCAATAGAAGAATGGCAAAAGCTTTATAGTCATCATAATTATTGAAATTTGTGTAATACACCAAGATTTATAGTCTTGAATACACTCTTAATCACACCTTGAAGTAAATACATTTCTTCCTACATTGAAACAAATGGGTTCATTTCTGAGATAACTCAAATAATAAATTCTTATCATGGTATTCTCTAAGTACCAATGATTTGAGGTGTAAAAACTAACTGTGCTGCAAATAGACTCAAAAGTTATTTTTTGAAACCCAGTGAAGTTTTCAAGCTGTTTATCTTTATGTCTTGCTGGGGAGTTGACTACTTTCATCTATGACAATGAGTTGTGGTATAAGGAGGTTAGGGCATATCATTTGGTTTCCAAGTGTTATTCTTTATATTACTTTTACCAATAATGTAGATACTATTTCATAATCCTTCAGTTCTTTAAAGTTTCATCTTGCATCCATTTATGGCTGATGGTAGAGAAAGAAACACTCTATTCTCCACTAGATTTACAGCCATGAATAAAAGGGAACACGGAGTACAACACAAGGGGAGGTATTTGTAGTTACCACAGGAGGCAGTCAAAAGGCCACACCCTTGTTAATGTGCTTTAAAGGGGCGGTCCACATTAAAGTGTCTCAAAAATTAGAAATATTAACAGTAAAAGAGCTAGCTGTGGAATAATGCTTTTTTTCTGGTTCTTAAGTTGACTGAAATCGCTATATTAAATATAAACTGTTTTCAGAAAAATAAATAACAGTATTTTCATTTTTAAAAAGTATATGGGTATTTTATTTACGTGAATCTTTGGCCACCATGTGTATGCCTAAGGTCTTTAGGGATGGAAAGAGGGCATTGGACAGACTAGAACTGGAGTTAGAGAAGGTTGATAGCTGTTATGTAGATAGTGGTCATTGAAGCCGGGCCCACTAAAAGAGCAGGCAATGATGCTAATTGCCAGGCCACCTTTCTGGCAACAAAATTAGTGAATTAAAAAAAAGTAATTAGTCATGCTGATTTCTGGATATTTCACTGTTTATTACTTAATGCTACCTAAAAGGAAACATAGTTTCCTTGTTGAATGATGTTAAAGTTTTCTTTTTAGCAAACTCAAGCTCCACTTTACATAATTAAGTGATAGATACAATATTATTTAGACAATTCGTCTTTCATCTTCACATCTATCTTGATAAGATTTGACACAAAAATAATACTTTCAATCAAAGGTATGATTTCTTCAGCTACACAAATTATATACATTGAAAGTGCTTATTCTCCACAATGAAAGTATTGCTCTATTTGCATTCTATGTAAGTTTCAGCATAATTTTAAACATATTATTAAGTCCATGAAAAGTATATGCTAAATTATTGACCATTTTATGTAACTATTAAAAAACAAATTGAAAATTCATAATAAAGTCTCTCATTTGAGATTCAGGGACATCCTATTCTTAAAATTGTGGGACAAAGCCGGGCGTTGGTGGTGCACGCCTTTAATCCCAGCACTTGGGAGGCAGAAGCAGGCAGATCTCTGTGAGTTCAAGGCCAGCCTGGTCTACAGAGTGAGTGCCAGGATAGGCTCCAAGGCTACACAGAGAAACCCTGTCTTGAAAAACCAAAGAAAAAGAAAAATCAAGGGACAAATTTAAAAGCCATTTATACCATTACCTATATATCGACGTCTTAAGTCATTAAATTACCTCTTGCAGGTCATTGAGTTTCATTGCAGAATAAAACGGGAGTGGGTATTCTTTTGATCATTTGTTATTTAAGTCACAGCTTGAGATATTCAAGGTCATTGAGAAAAATCAAGTAAACTGTGGGAGTCACATTAAAATTACCACAGTGTTCTTCCCATCCCTGCTGCAAAAACAGAACATCATTCACACAATTAAAAAGGGAACAAGACACTGGACATCTATAAAAACAGAACTTTGTCCTCCTTGTAGTGATTAATTTAGAAAATTATAAAATTGTCTTCGACTGTACATACATGAAAAATGTAGAAACTACCCAGGTTAAAAGGGCCTAACATAAAATATTCAGTGTACTCTGGGCATCTCTTTGCAGTGAGTGTAGTTTCTTTTCTAATAGAATGAATGCATATATCAGTTACCTTTAGCTACATAACAAAAAAAGATCAATTTGTATTGGTTTAAAGCAGCTACTACCCAGAATCCGATAGCTGGAGAGAGATGAGATGAATAGATCCATGACCCCACTGATACCACCATGTAGCTGAAGCTTGCTTGCTTGCTACCTGGTGCCATTCAGATGTGTTAGTTGAATACGAGGCAGTCCACCCGTGATGGTATCCAAATTTGAGGGAAGAGACAAGACGCCAGGCCTCCTGCTGTTGTGACTCAGCACTCATATTCTATGCCTTCCATGGTGCCTACATGGAATAAAAATAAATTCCAAGGAAATGCACATTACCCCTTTAATTAAAGAAGAAAAAATTCCCTTTACAATATTCATGACTATTAAGGGGTGTGGAAAACTGGAACCATTTCTGTTGTAACCTACTAAATGATGGTATAAAGTTTTTTATGATCTTATTACCTGAGAGTTAACATTAAAATTGCTTAATGAGAGATGTAAATGTGAGGATCATCACAGCTATTTTATGAGTATTTTGCCCCCAATTTAAATTATTTTGTTCTTGCATTTCTCTGTGTACGCCTCTCTCTCTCTCTCTCTCTCTCTCTCTTTATCATTCTTTTGACTTCCATGTGTATGTGATTGAATGTGTGTGTGTGTGTGTGTGTGTGTGTGTGTGTGTGTGTGTGTGTGCAAACACAATGAATGATCACAAAATCATAGTCTAGGAAAATGTATCCTTGCATGGGTATTTTAGCAAACAAACTCTTTCTGTGCATGTTTCCACGTTATAGGTCACTTCAGCCAAGATTTGCAGGTCAGATGAACTTAAACTTGGTGGGAAACCTTGTGAACTCTCTGGAACACCAACACCTGTGGGAATCGTCTATGAGCTGATTCTATTCACCTCTGTGTGTCCTGTGGAGACTGACATGCCTTGGTTTGGCCCAGTTCCCCAGATTCTGATGGGGTAGGTGGCCTTCTCCTCCTGCACTTCTTAGGATTATAAATACAGTCTATAAATATGTTCAAGTGTCTTGTGCAATTGGTTCCTGAGGAACAGGACACCCCACAGCTTGCATTGTATTGCCCGACCGCCCCTTTGGTTTTAGCATCGCCTTCTTTGTTGCCTTGGCTAGATGGTGAAGTGAGTTCTCTCCTCTTGAGTAATGAACTGTCTGTATCAGAAAGGGCCTTGCTGCATTTCCTTGGCTGAATTTGTCAGACCTCGGCTTTGGCCTTGTTTGCCGCTGTGTGCTTGACAGGAATATATTTAGAAACATGGCTGTAGCCTTCCTGATTTTGGCTGTTCTTTTCCCATCACAAAATATCTGAAAAGTTACAGGCAGTATTTTTTTTCTTACTATTGGATAGTATACTATATCAAGCTTCTCTGAAGATAATTAGTCTGGTGTCAAGACTCTGTAAACATCAGAAGGGTTCTGCCTCATCAACTGTGAATCAATATCATAAAATTTAAAAAATTAAACTTAATTATTTCCCTCTTATTTATCATACAATCTCTGCATTCTTCCTAGTACATAAGAGAACTGGAATTGGTTTTGAATCAGGGAAAAGATAAATCAGAGGATAAATAAGACTGACATTAGCCAGAGCAATCTATCTGGCAATCTCCAAGTCTTTAGGTGTAATTGTGCCTAATCTGAAATCTAAGACTTATGAAGGCATAGACATAGGTCATCCCCTCTCTTCTCTTCACTCTAAATAGCCTCTCTTGGTTGTATAGTGATAAGCAGTCTTAACTTCATTTCCAAGAATTTTCAGACTGGATGTTGCATGCAAAAATACTTCTGTTTCATTGGGAGAAATTGTCAGAATAAAGGCATTTCCAGGACATGCAGTTAGCTCACAGGGGTCCCAGTAAACTTGTTAAATAATTTTAGTAGCACCGTTATTGGTCAGGATATGATTCAAAGGTAAGTCCACACTGTAAAAGATTCTTTGTGCCTCTAAAAGCACATTTATTATATAGAAATGTGTATTATCCATGATTTAGAGTTTTGGTTATTTAATACATGTGTATCTTTTAAAGCGTTCATTGCTTTGCAATGAGTTCTGAAACAGAAAGCTTGTTTCATTGAGCATTTTCAGTTATTGTTCTTTTTTTGCAGTTATTGTTCATAACAGCAATTTTTTTAAAAAAATAAGTAAAGTTTTCATTGTAACAAAACCCTTCGAATTTGGGATAAAATGTTAGTAGTGACCGTAATTAACATACAAAGTGAGCATGGGTCAAGGGAGATATCTCTGTTGGAAAGTACTTCCTTCAGGGACCTGAGTTCAATTCTCACACCTCAAGTGAACAAAAAAAAGGAGAGTAAGATTGCACATACAAATGCCACCCCAGAGCTGGCAAGGTGGAGACAGGAGAATTCCTGGAGCTCTCAAGCCAATGACTTTAGCCTATTTGGCAATTCCAGGCTGTTGAATGGCTCTGTCTCCCAAATAGGTGGGTTATACCTTGGGAAGATCAAATGAGGTTGTCCTCTGTCCCCCATATCCGCTTTTACCCACAGCACACATACATACAGAAAACTGACAGTATATTATGCCTTGCTGGATCCCTCCTACTGTTTTCAAGAAAAGAATATATGTACTTACTGAGAATTTGAATATCAAGGGTGTTTCATATTTTAATATTTAATAAACTAGGGGCTGGATATCACCAGCTTATTATATTTAGATGACACTTCAGGATAAGATTAGACACAGTAAGCAGCGGAACACTAGTAAGTCCTTGTAGATACAGATTGTGTTTCTATCTGTCAGTTCTTTTTTTGACTTTTCCTTCCAGAGGAACCAGCACTTTTTGACAGGTATGAATTACAGCAACGATACACTTTCATAAATTACAGAAATAATTCATCTGTATCTTTAAACTTAGGCAGGCTTGCATTCCAGGACAGTGCCGAAATTTTCACACAGGAAAATGAGTTTCAAGAGAGAAAATATATAATTTCTTTAAGCTCGTCACCAATTCCATTGAGGGAAGGAAAGGCTATGTGCACGAAGACAGTTTGAAAGCACCACAAACAGTGGGTGAGTGCTTCCCTGGCAAAGACTGTATCTTTCACTCTCAACATTCCATAGTTCATTACATAGGGCTGAGACATCGGGGACTTTTATCACGCTCATGTGTTGATCAGTGTCATCCTTGTTGAGCTCCCGTTTGGGCAGTTATGTTGGTGAGATAGTAAGTCCACAACTTCTGACACGGCCAGAAAGCCACACTCTCAAAGCCAACTCCTTTGTGTTCTGGCTCTTGCAATCTTACACCCTCTCCTCTGCAATATTATTATAATCTCAAAACATAGAAGAAACTATACAAAAAGAACAACAAAAATGTAGTTATTGCACAGGAAGCCCCTGAGAGTTCTAAAATCAATTCAGATATTAAATTCCTTTTATTATTATACATCTATCTATCATCTAGATATCATCTATCATTTATCATCCATATATCTACTATCATCTAAAATCTATCTACTACCTATTATTATCAATCTACTATACATTATCTATCTGCTATGTCTCTCTATATATATCATCTATCTATCTCTATGTGTGCATATGTTTGAGTGTTTGGTGTTGGTGGTGTGCCACAATGGAGTGAAGTAGTCAGAGGACGACTCTTGGGAGCTGGCTCTCTCCTTCAACCATGTAGATCTCAGATTTTCAGCCTTAACAGCAAACACCACAGGTCCTGTAGGTGGCTTTTAATCCTACAATTATAATTATAAGCACTTACCAAAATTAGAAATACTTTTATAAATATTTAGAATTTGCATCTTTTTAGTTTATTTAAGGATATTATTCTCTTGGCATGCTGCTACTTATGGCCATACAACTGTTATTACCGTCAAGAAATTTGAAGGAGTTCAAACTCCTAATTGCCAGCGAGTTGTTTCAAGGTCAAGTATTCTAAAAGTTATGAGAACAAAGAACTTACAGATGACACATTTTTATAATGCAT